GATATTAGCTTTCCCATTCTTGATTTAGCTAAGGACAAAGAACCTGTAAATATGCCGAGAACTGAGACTGAAACTGAGATCTGATGCCATTATAACTTTTACACATGCGATATGAAGCTGAATGCTGTCTAATATTTGTACGATATCGTGGTAAGAAAAATGTTTTCCTATGGTGCCGACGACTGCCGGTTCGTGAAACTCCAATTTTGATGGTGGCTAGGAACTCAGGACAATCTAGCAATCCATGTATAAATTTAAAGAGCAGGACAATATCACATGATTTTCTTCGTGCACTTAGGGATTTCATTTTAGAAAAGTTCAGTCTAGTTTCGTAAGATTTCAGGTCCGCGCATTTATTATCGATTAATGACAGTTGATACAAAACTCTTTTCTGAATACATTCGATTCTATTCGAGTGCACACAGTAACTTGGATTCCACACCGGACTGCAATATTCGAGAATACTACAGATTATGCAATTATAATCTGGTAAAATTACGTTAACATTTTTAAAAGATTTTATTTGTCGTGATATGAAACCTGACATCTTAGAAGCTTTTTTCACTGTCTCGGCTATATGAGTTCTAAAACTCAGAGAGCTATCTAAAGTAGCGTCTAAATCTCGCATATTGGTGACCTCAATCAAAGTTTTATTGTTTATAGAATATGCAGCGTTCCTATGCATTCGCCGAGAAAATTTCATTTGAAAACATTTTTCCACGTTTATAATCATCCCATTAGTTTCACACCACTTACTCATTTTATTTATCTCTTTCTGTAACTCGTCAATATCAAAATCATTATGAATAACTTTATGAAGTTTTAAATCATCAGCATACATTTTGAAATTGCACCTAATAGAATTCGCTAAATCATTTATAAAAATCAAAAAGAACAGCGGACCCATATGCGATCCTTGGGGTATACCTGAAGGGACAGCTTTTGTTGTAAAACCGTTTATTATAACCAATTGTGATCTATTTTTTAAGTAGGATTCACACCAGCGCAACAATGATCCATGTATACTCATGCTCGAAATCTTGTCTAGTAATAAATCAAGATTTATGAGATCAAACCCTTTGCTGAAATCTTAGTTAATCGAGTGTACATCATTTCCATTGTCTAATTATCCGAGAGAAATCGTACTGTTCTGGATGTATATATTCTTTGACGTGCCAGTAAATTTTTTTTTGGATGATTGACTCGAATACCTTCCCCGTAGCAGGAAGTATAGATACCGGTCTATAGTTCGAGACAACAGATGTATCGTCTTTTTTATGTTTTTTATGTATCGGAGTGACACGAGCAGATTTCCATTTTTCAAGAAATACGCTCGTTCTTAGGGATTTGTTAAATATTGATGTTAAGGGTGTTGCCAGATTATCAGCACACTCTCTTAAGAAATAATTGTTTGTATTTTGTCTAATCCCGACCCCTTATTTACAATTTTTTTCAACGATTTTAGTACATCTGCAACATCAAGTATACACCTTTCAAAGGTTGTTGACGTCTGTGTATGTCAACACTGGTATATTTAGAATTAAAATATTCAGAAAACAAATTGCAACCCCCCCCCCACTTCTGATTTTTGGTTCCATGTTAACATGTTGGGTATGGAGCTACTATTACGTTTTAAGCTATTAATATAAGAACATATATATTTCAGGTGGTGACGAAGTGTTTCTGCTGTACTTGATGTGAAATTGTTATAACATATTTTTGTTAATTTATCGCAACGAGTCCTTAATATATTAAATGTAATTTTATGTATCGGATTACCATATGTTTCATATTTTTTTACGATGTTTTAATTTTTCCTTTAGAAAATTTATAAAGGACTTACTGTACCAGATGGAGTATTTATCATTATGTGGTTTGACAAGAGGCATATGTTCGTTTACGATAGGCATTAGCACTTCGTATAGTGTGTCCGCCATGTTATTAACAGTGCTATTATGGTTACAAACGTCATCCCAATCAATTTTCGATAGAACCTCATTAATCGCTTTATAATCAGATTCATAAAAGTTACATTTTGGAATGTATTTATGTTTTATTACTTTCTTATGGTTAAGTAAATGAAAAGTTATTTTGAGAGCTGGGTGATAGTGGTCTAATTTTGATAGGGGCCTTGTAGCTTCGCACACTTTAATTTTATTTGAGTGATCAGTCATGATTAAATCTAACATTCGATTATTATAATTTGATTTAAATATCATTACACTGAATCACATTATTGAAAGTCAACTCATCTAAAAACTTATAGTCTATTGCGCTGTTACTGGGTATGTGTGTCGAAGTCTTAGAATCCTTAATACAGCTCCAATCTTTATTCGGCAAGTTGAAATCGCCTATCAAGAAAGTAACAGATTTATTTACAATCTTATTCTGAACGATATAGGTAAAAATTATCAAAAAATTACTTACATAATATCTAATATATATATGTATTATGTTTATGTATGTGTGTATGTATTTATCTATGTGTAATGTGACCAGATGTTTATTTGTGTATGAATGCTTTTGTTTATATTTTTAAATATTCACGTGATAATGCGTTACGTGTATATAAATTTTCCAACTTTTTAAATGTCTGTATTAAGGTTGCCTGTAAGAGATCGCCGTGAGAGATAAGACCGCCGATTGTTACGTCTATATACTTGTAAGTTTCCTATGTGTTAACTGTAAACAATAAAGATATAAATAAATAATCATGACTTACGGGTGGGACATAAACCGCACATATTTATACTCGGAGCTAGCTTCAGAATAATCCATAGTTCTTCGCATAGGGATTCCCATTGACACTTCCTTAGAGATTTAAATTTCTTTAACCTTAATTATAGAAGATAGCTATAAAAATAAGTTAAAGAATAAGATAAACAATGAACTGGGTAATATTATTATTTGGTTAGAATGTAATTACCTTAAAATCAATGTTAATAAAACGAAAATGATACAATTTCAGACATACAATAATAAACCTATTAAATTAAATATCAAATATAATGGATAATGTAGTTGAAGAAGTGGATGCGACGTCATTTTTGGGCATTACAATAGATAAACACTGTAATTGGAAGCAGCATATTTAGAACCTTTTCATAAATTTGTTTATATATATCGCCTTAAACAAATATCGACTCTGGGCACTGCTTCAAGTGCATACCACGGCTATGTGTCGTCAAAACTACGATATGCGATTATAATATGGGGCAATTCAGTTGAGGCAAACAGGGCATTTCTTGTGAGAAAAAATGTATGCGAACACTATCCAACTTACAGCAAACAATACAACATACTACCACTACCTAGTCTGTATATTTACGAGTTCTGTGTTTTCGTGCACAAACATCAACGGCTATTTTGTAAACATAACGACGCCGTCGCCAGGTCAAGCAGAAATACACAAACTCTTAGTTCCCAGACAAAGAATAAATATGTATAGTAAAAATGTATACTGTATGGCTATACACATTTATAACAAGATACCAATTAGTTTTAAAGAAGATACTATTAATGTTTTTAAAAGAAAATTATTTACGTTGCTCTTAGATAAATGTTTTTTGACGATAAGAAATTGTGACATATATTCCTTTATTACTAAATAATGCATGATAATGTTGTAAAAAAAAGCATAGTACATTCACTCTACTAACATTTTGTTTACCAGATAATGGTAGAATGTGGCTAGCATCTAAAATGTACCAACTAAGAACTCTGTATACCCATATTTTGACAAATACATATGTTAGCGCCAACTGGCGGTGGCCATAGAATCTATTGGCGCCAATACATATGAGCGGGTGCGCAGATATCTTCAGCGACTAAGCGCTGCCTGAAACTGATATGCTGAGTACGTTACGGCTGCCGGACAGGTGGGTAAAAGGATATTGGAAAGCACGCCTACCTTGATGGTCTTGAGATGCTGGTTTAGCTGCTGTCAAGACCTGGCGGGCTGATCAGACGGCCTGGTCTCTCGTGGCTTCGGTGTGGCTTGTGAAACAAAATGGCGGCGCGCTGCGCGGTATAAAGTCACTAGCTTGCCAGCAAGGCACGATTGAACACTCAGCGGACAATGCGGTAGCGTGATCCGAAGACACTTGAACGCGGCGCGTGTTATTCGCATATTTTTGGTTTTAAAGTTTATATGAGATGCGGTAGCGGAGAGAAAAAATAACGTGCGGTGTGTCTCGCGTCTCGAGCGTCACCGACTGTCTCCTATTTGCGGCGTGCGTGCGGGATGTCGATATATGATCAAGGGATTGATAGGTGTCGACAGCCTCACCTAGCGGGAATTTAAACTAAAACTTACAGAGTTCCTGTCTCTATGGACAGGTGGCGTTACCAACATATATTATTATTATTATAACACTGCTATACAAATGCAACCTCCATCCATTTTAGTTTTGCAGGATATAGTTAAACAACGATCGCGCCGAAATATATCATGTCTATCATCAAAGATTTCATAATCAAAGACAGAACCACGATTCCGTAATGATGATGATATCATGATCATTTTGAACAACTGTTATCGAGTAACACTTCCGGCCTCACATAATACGTAAGCCATTATTTACGAAATAGTTCAGGTACATCCTAATGATTAGGCAATATATAGAACTTATTATTGTTTTATAATATAATTAGTAATTTTGTAATCAAGTAAATAGTTGACTCATATCATAGAATATTTTATTGGCGCCTTCCGCTTGACAGCTTCCGGCGCAATAAACCTTTAATGTTATTTATGTTATATAATTTAATATTATTAAATAATAATTGTACGTGAATAATCAACAGGATAATTAAGATAAACAATGTTACCTATTAAGTTTGTATTAAAATAGGTCAAGATGATTGTATAAATACCGACCGTTAACATATTTATATATATGTCGCCGCCACCCTGATAATCATTCTACACTTCAGAAGTGGGATGATGTCAGGCCCATACATTGACGGACTTGGTACAAAGAAAAGGAGACGCTGCGAGAATGCTGCACCCGACAGCGACGAATCATCTAGTTTTTTTTTCTTCATCCAATCACGAAGAGACCGTTGAGAAACACAGGCGATACAAAAAGCGACGTGTCACCCAAACCGATGCGGAGGTTATTCCAACGTTCTGGCCGGATGAAAAATCTAGCAACGTCAAAGGATGGCTGCACAAGATCGACCAGTTGGGTGACGTATATAGATGGGACAACAAAGACCGCCAGTTCATCATGCAGATACGTCTTCGTGGGACGGATAGAGACTGGTATGACGATCTGGACGACTACGATTTCACGTGGAAAGGGTTTAAGGTCGCTCTAGAGACCGCGTTCCCACGTTCTACTGACTTTATAGATCTACTTGAATCTATGCTCGCTAGAAAGAAAACGTAAAGTTCGGAAAGTATGACAAAATATTTCCACGACAAGGTTTCCTTATTAAAAAAATGTTCATATCGATGCTTGTAAGCTAGAGCTGGGAGGTATCCTTTTGCAATACCAAAGCGATGGTGTATTAAAACCAATTGCATATTTCAGTAGGGTTACAAGTAAGGAAGAACAGTTCTATCATAGTTATGAGCTGGAGACATTGGCAGTTGTAGATTCCTTGAAGCGCTTTAGAGTAAATCTCGTAGGTATTCCGGTAACTGTAGTAACAGATTGCGCCGCATTACGGACAACTCTAGTAAAAAAAGACCTTATTCCCCGTATAGCCCGCTGGTGGCTTTCAATTCAAGATTATGATCTGCATATTGAGTATCGATCTGGCAATCGAATGAGACACGTAGATGCTCTGAGTAGAAATCCAGTACAAAACTCTGTCCTATTCATTGATAACTCTGATTGGCTAGTGACATTACAATTACAAGACGAAAGTATTCAGTCTCTTTTAACTCAATTACGGAATGGTACAGACAATCAAAACATTATTGCTAACTATGCTATAAAGGATAACATTCTCTATAGAAAAACAATTAACGGGGACCGCTTTGTTATACCTAAATTGGCAAAATGAGGATTATTACAAAAATTTCATGACATTTGGTCATGAAATTTTTGTAATAATCCCCATTTTGCCAGGACATGTTGGTTTTGATAAGTGCGAAAAAACTATTAAGGCACAGTTTTGGTTCGAGGGCATGACTAGATTTATTCGAAAATATGTTAAGTCATGTCTTCAATGTGCTTACGGCAAGGGAGAGCACGGTAAATTACAGGGAGAACTACATCCAATCGAAAAGGTGGCTATCCCGATGCATACGCTACACGTTGACCATTTATGCCCATTTGTAAAAACACGTAAAGGAAACGCGTATATACTAGTTGTCATAGATTCGTTCACAAAGTTCGTATTTCGCATATTTCGATATCATTTCGCAGTTTGGAAATCATCACAGGATCATTACGGATAGAGGCAAAGCGTTTACTAGCCAGTATTTCAAACAGTTTGCAGAAGAAATGCAATTTAAACATATTTTGAATGCCAGTGCTAGTCCTAGGTCGAATGGCCAAGTAGAACACTATGTCTGATAGCGAATGCACCTGGGATGATCACCTAATTGATATAGTTTGGGGCATTAATAACACTCCCCATGCAATTACTGGTTTTGCTCCTTTTAAGTTATTATTTAGGCATTCCAATTAGCGCTTACCCTACTTGAGAACCCAGTGACTTCGAAAGTCAAGCGAAAGCATTAGAAGAAAGGCGAAACGCGGCTAAATTGCGTATTGACAAACATATAACACTAATGAAGGATAGGTTTGATCGATCTCATAAAAAATGCATTAAGTACTCGGTGGGACAACTGGTACTTTGTAAAGGGGGAATAACCAGAGTAAGCGCTAATATAACTAGGAAACTTAACGGGTTGTATACAGGACCATATAGAGTATGCAAAGCAGAAGAGTCGTTGGATCGCTACACTATATGTAGTATTAAAGGCATGAAAGGTTATCAAAAATTTACTGCTGTTGTTCGCGGTGAAGTCCTCCGACCTTTCAAATCTTCCATTCCCGATGATAGCAGTGGCAGTGACCATGAGGTTGATAGAGATGATTTGATAGACTTATTAGAGTGTTAACAGTTAAATAATAAATAATTTTAATTAATTAATAAGGATGTTAAGTATTAATTAATACAAATTTATGAAAGTATTGTAATAGATCAAAAATTAAGTACGGAACAAATACTGTATTCAGAAATAAACTGTTGAACAAAATATGTATTCGTTTGTTCTATTTAGTATCTGATAAAACGAAAACAAACTACTTCAGGATAGAGGCTGCACAAGTTACAATAAAAGCTGTGTGATGTGTAACAAATAAAAGCTGTGTGATAAAGAACAGATAAAAGCTGTGTGAGCATACCAAAAAAAAAAAAAAAATAGATAATACAAGATTTAATTACTGCTTAAACTTGTCAATTCCAGCTGCCATACACCAGCGACAAACCAGGCGCCAATAGCACCGCTGATCGCCGTGGGACATGGCATACACAGGATGGCCGAATGTTATCGAGTAACACTTCCGGCCTCACATAATACGTGAGCCATTATTTACGAACTAGTTCAGGTACATCCTAATAATTAGGCAATATATAGAACTTATTATTGTTTTATAATATAATTCGTAATTTTGTAATCAAGTAAATAGTTGATTCATTTATACTTATAATATTTTATTGGCGCCTTCCGCTTCACAGCTTCCGGCGCAATAAACCTTTAATGTTATTTACGTTATATCATTTAATATTATTAAATAATAATTGTACGTAAATAATCAACAGGATAATTAAGATAAACAATGTTACCTATTAAGTTTGTATTAAAATAGGTCAAGATGATTGTATAAATACCGACATATTTCGGGTCATTCGTATTCTACCCGTTCTAACGTGTATTAAAGAGAATATATTATTTCGTGTGAATTTAAAGTGTCTTAATTGTCGCCGCCACCCTGATAATCATTCTACACAACATTCATATAACAATCTTCACATTTGGTTCTCAAGCCTCTTACATTTTGGTAACAGGTTTTTAACGTGAATTTTAACTTTTTTAAATTACAAAAACATGCATAGAAAATTTACAGTCTGTTTAGAGCGTCCTCATTTAACACTATTTTTGCTTTCGCCCGAACATCTTTGCGGACAAAAACCTTTCCATTACGGATCTAGACGAATTCATAGTTTTTCTCTCTGGCTGCAGCTCTTGTAGCAGCACGCAATTGCCTGTTTGCAGCTTGCCTGTGGTCACCCAAGCCTAATGTCATCTGTGCAGTTTCTCAGCTTTATGTAGTTTGTTGTATTTCTTAACCGCGGCCAGCAACCCATCACGAAGTTTTGGACTTTGTAACTGTATAATAATCGTCCGAAAAATTTAATTATTTTTTATTACTATTACTTAATTTGACCTGAACTGATAATGACTTTAAATTATATATACTTATGATTTATTTATTGATGACTTTGTTTATGTAAATGATGCTTGATTGATGCTTTATTTAAACAATACTCTTAGAATATTTAAAGGATGTTGATGTTCTAAAATCAATGATGTCTCATAATATTGTTTTGTTTGTATTTCATTGCCTAATACTTTGTATGCCTTTCGGCGGGACATAGCTTCTACATAATAAAATTGACATCTTAACCACCTTTTTGTCACAAAATTGAATAAATAAATGAAAATGAAATGAAATGAGGTCTAGTAGAATCATGGTCCATCTTATGTATCCTATGACAATTTATTATTTCATGATCACTTATGTTGTACAATACGACTTTTGTAAGATGTTTTAGTGTCGTAAGCAAGTTCTCATTCTTATGTTCTGGTACGCATTGTATTTCCACATTACAAGAGCGAGACTGCTATTCAATAACATTCATTTTATTAATATTATTTAACGAGAATTAACGCGATCTCTTATTTAGGGTATTAGATACCTCTGGTTTGCCTGACGTTTCGACCAGGTTGCACCGGCCGTGGTTACAGGCTGACTCAGCCTGTGACCACGGCCGGTGCAACCGGTTCACATCATGTTATTGGCGCGACCAATGCAGTCCCTTTTTTTTTTTTTTACGTGTGGAAATTCCCTCGGACCGTCACGCCGCCGGGGCTCTCGTTCGGCGGGGCGGTGCGTCGAACTCGAACCGACTAAAACCACGCGGTGTGCCCTCTTTGCGCTTCCAGTTTAGGAGGGGTCCAGGTAGTTATCGCCTTCTGGACCCCTCCCAGCGCCGGCCCGCTCCTGTTGCGGGCTCCGTCTCAAAATTTTTCCTCCTTCCTGGCCAACTAATGCGGGTGGAGGGGAGAGCCCATCCCGTCCACCCGCGGCCACACTCAGGGCGGCATGAGGCGCAGGTGAGCGCGCCTCCGCCGCCCGGTTCGCCGGCGGCGGATCAGGTCCGAGTGGAGGTCGTCCTCCCGGGCCTTCTCCGCCGCCTCCTTCTGCGAGATTACCTCCTCGCAGAAGGTTGCGACCGCGGTAAAATAACTGTCGCTACCGGCCATGGAGCGAATTACGGCCGGTAGCGAGAGATCTGCTCCGATGACTGCAGTGAGGGCCCGGTCGTCCTCCCGGGCCTTCTCCGCCGCCTCCTTCTGCGAGATTACCTCCTCGCAGAAGGTTGCGACCGCGGTAAAATAACTGTCGCTACCGGCCATGGAGCGAATTACGGCCGGTAGCGAGAGATCTGCTCCGATGACTGCAGTGAGGGCCCGGTCGTCCTCCCGGGCCTTCTCCGCCGCCTCCTTCTGCGAGATTACCTCCTCGCAGAAGGTTGCGACCGCGGTAAAATAACTGTCGCTACCGGCCATGGAGCGAATTACGGCCGGTAGCGAGAGATCTGCTCCGATGACTGCAGTGAGGACCCGGCGCTGCGTCGCCCATGCGGGGCAGACCGCCAGCGTGTGCTGGGCCGAGTCCTCACTGCAGTCGCAGTGACCGGCTGGAGGGTCTCCACGGCGGCGAAGCCAGCGCGTGGAGTCTCCAGCCGGAACGACCATCTCACCATGGTGGCTCGGTGAGCGGCTTCGCGCCAATCGCGCACGTCTTCGGGCGGAGGGCGAAATCCGCTCTCCGCCCGGAAGTCAGCCACTCGCCGATACACTTCGGCGAGCACTTCCGCCTCCAAATCCCACGGGGGTGTTCCGGCCAAGGCGCAAGCCGCCTCGGTGGACACCGTGCGGTAACCGCTTATGGCTCTGACCGCCAATATCCTCTGGGGGCGCCAGAGGCGCGCCCTATTCGGGGCGGTCAGAGCCGCAACCCACACCGGTGCACCATACAGCGCCATGGACCGGACAACCCCTGCGTACAGCCGCCTCGTGGGAACACTGGCCCCGCCCAAGTTGGGCAAAAGTCGCCCTAGGGCGGAGGCGGTGTCCACCAACTTCGGACCAAGCTGTTGGAAGTGCTCGTCGAAGAGCCACCTACCGTCTAGGACCAGACCCAGGTACCTCATCTGGGCCCTGACCGGTACGAGGACCGAGCCGACCTCGATTGAGGCGCCGGCGGGTGGACCACGACGGGGCCCATGAAATAGAAGGGCCTCCGTCTTGTCCAGGGCCACCCGTAATCCCAATGCCTCAATGCGCCCGACCACCAGGAAAACTCCTGTGGTGGCCAGGCGCGCCGCCTCCTGGAAGTTAGCCCCCCGGGCCGTGACTAGAGTGTCATCCGCGTAGCAGATTACACCCAGCCCGGGGGGGAGACGCCCTCGTAGGGCCCAGTCGTACCCGATGTTCCACAGGAGAGGTCCTAGGACAGACCCCTGCGGAACACCGCACGACATGGCCCTGCTTCTCAAGACGCCATCTCGGTTCTCGTACATGACGGTTCGCTCCTCAAGATAGTCTGCCACCAGGTACTCAGGTGCCTCAGGTACTCCGGCACTCCGTGGTAGCGGAGCGCTTCCCTGATGCAACTGAATGGCAGACTATTGAAGGCATTGGCGATGTCCAAGGACACCGCCAACACCACTCCGCCGCAGCTCACAGCCTCCTCGGTCATGGCCCTAAGGCGCATTACGGCATCGATCGTCGAACGCCCCTCTCGGAAACCGAATTGGGCATCCGACAGATCGGGGCCAACCTCGCAGAGGTGCCGGACGATGCGGGCAGAGAGCACCCTCTCGAAAAGTTTACCCGCCTCGTCCAGCAACACGATAGGCCTATAGGCCGCGACCGAATCGGCAGGCAGTCCCGGCTTCTGCAGCAGGACCAGCTTCCCGCATTTCCAGCGCTCAGGGAAGCGTCCGGACGCCAGGCTAGCGTCCAACACCCCCCTGAGGTGGTCCGACATGTAGTCGAGGGCTCGGGCCATCACTCCGGCTGGAACCCCGTCCGGCACGGGGGCGGTGTTCTTGGATCGAATCCGTAGAACAGCCGCCCCCAACTCCGATTCCCTGACGGGCGGAACATCACCCTCGCTGCCTCCGTCGTCTCCGGCTGATGCAGCCATCGACGGGGGTGTGTGCTCCGCCCGCTGCGGGAATAGGCCCTCGACCACTTCCTGCAGGAAGCTGGGCTGGAAAGTCTCCGTAAGGGGTGTCCGTAAGTCTCCTCCCGACGTGCGGAGCTTTTGACGCACCGCACGATAATGGCGACCCCAGGGGTCACGCTCGAGACTCTCCAGCATCTCCTCTCTACTGACATCCTTGGCGCGGCAGATGGCCAGCCTCAGAGTTTTCCGAGCTTCTCGGTACTCCTCATGAAGCCGGTCCACCTCCTCACCGATCCCGCGGTGACGTCGCCGACTACGGGTGAGGGACCTCCGGGACGTACACAGGCCGCACGGAGGTCCGCCAACTCCAATCCCTCGTTCTCCTTTTTTTTTTTTTTTTTTTTTTCGGGGGGAAATCCTCATGGACTGCCTCCGCCTGGGGAAAGGCGGAGGGGCGTGCCGGACTCTTACCGGCTAAAACCACCCCGGTGTCCCCTCACACATGCGCGCGGGGCCGCGGGAATCCAAATTCTTCCGCAGCCCCACACTAGTGCTGGCCCGGTCTGTCCGGGCCTCGTCTCCTGCACGGGGTAGTGAGGTGTTTAACTACCCCGGGCCTCGCCTCAGAGGCGCGCGC